TAGCCTATCTACTGGCATTCATTTTCATTCATTTAGAAAAGTGATACAGAGATTCTCATCTAGAGGCCCCAAAGCCTTGTCATTTTACAACTTCTGATTAAGAGTAAACTGTCTTTGTCTATGACTGATCTAGTAAAATGCCCTAACACATTAGCTGAAAACCTGAATTAATCTTTTTCTGGAGAATATGTATTTGTTAAATAGGGTGTTTGGATGAGAAGTTGAAAATTATTAAATACCTACAGGTCTTCACATTCCACAGATTCTGTACTGTTTTTTTACTAATATAGTAATAATTGAGGGATGTTAGTAATGAGGTAGAAACATCCTTGTTATAAAGAATTGGTTATGATGGTTTTGATAAAATTTAGGATTTCAGCTGTGTTTGTATTTTATATAAACCTTTGGTTACAATCATGCTTTTTAATTTTATCATTGCGTTTTCTTAAGTGTTTGTTTTGTAATACTTGCAGGAAACGTGTTCCTGATCATCACCCCTGTTAAACATTCCCATGTGCTGTTGAGCTCTGGACGAGTTAGTTCATAGCAGAGTTGTGTTTGAAAGACTTCGACCTTTTAAAGAAGACTGTGGAATCGAAGTTTATCTGTGGCTCTTATATCCTTAAGTTTGGACATTTAACTGACCTTCTATTTTAACATGGGTCTAATTTATTTACTGTTTCATTTTCCATAAAATTCAGTTGATTTAAAAGTTCATTTCTCATACTGTGCATCAAAATAAAAATTTGAACAATTAATTGTTCTTATCTTAGTGGTTTGTACTTTTTTATTTAATGGGAGCAAGTGATTGTACTCTCTCAGTATGGAGTTGTTCGGCTTAACTAGTGGTTGATCTTACACGTTTATGAAATAATGATCTTGTCAAGTCCAAGTCAGATGTGATAAACATAGATTAATCTCTTGGTTTGTAATCATATGTAACCTTTATTAGCTGTTTAATTTTGTTTAGTGAAAGTATCTTAAAGTTTAGTTCCCAATATAATTTTGTGTCGTCTAAATACTGTCTATTAACATAGGACAAAATGATTGTGGTTTCTGTTACTTCAGGGTTGAAAGAGTCCTATTTTAAAAGTTGTTACAGGCTGCTTCTCAAGCATCTTTTATGCTTTAACGGGTAATATCCTCTCACTTAAAGAAGATGGATGTGGTTAGATTTAGATGTTGGTTTAGGATTTTTTTGTTTTTGGCAAATGGATTCAAGAAAGAGTGGGAATAGGGATAGGTATGTACTGAGTTAATGGTTTAAAGGTGAATTTAGGTTTGGAGGTTTTTTGTTTTTTTTTTTTAAAGATTTTATTTATTTATTTATTTGACAGAGATCACAAGTAGGCAGAGAGGCAGGCAGAGAGAGAGGAGGAAGCAGGCTCCCCGCTGAGCAGAGAGCCCGATGCGGGGCTCGATCCCAGGACTCTGGGATCATGACCTGAGCCGAAGGCAGAGGCTTTAACCCACTGAGCCACCCAGGTGCCCCAGGTTTGGAGGTTATTAATGCGTCAGTGTATAGCAGAATGCCCAAGAAATGAGAGAAAGCCTAGCCATAGGTTGAGTTCCTAGAAGGTATCTCTGCTACCTTAATGGAGAGATATTTTATTCCCATAGAGGAGCAAAAGGATTTTCCAAAGAAATGCTGATAAAACAGCCTGTTTTGTTGTGTTTGTTTTTCTAAAGAAGCCTACCGACTGAGCTGGCCAGGCGCCCCCAATCTGTTTTGTTTTTGTCTAAGAAGTTTGAACATTTTAATACTACTTTTGTAGAAGCTATTAAAACTGGGAAAAGTTGTGTTTTTTTGTGGTCCTGGTGTATGTATGTCCTCCAATATTCACATAAAGGAGAAACTTCCTGAGATTATCAAAGAGAATTGTACTGTTTTTTTTTTAAGTACTTTATCACGTCATAACATCATTTTTCATCTCCACACCTCCGGTAGAACAGGTGAGCATATCACAACCAAGAAAACCTACAGAGGTTTCAGTAGAAGTAGGTTTAAACATCTGTGCTGAGAGTACTAGGTAGTCTGGTGTAAGATCTTAAAAGGATACTTGGGCATGTTTTCTCCAGAGGTCTTAAAAAGAATACACCTTTAAGTATTAATCTAAAAAGAGGTGGAAACATGGGAGCTTCGTTGTTATATCCAAGGATACACCCATGCCTCTTATCCTCTTTGTAATTCATAACCTTTGAAGCCCTTACATTGTTGTCATAAACCTAGACTATCTCATGATCATGAATTTTAATGTCTTCTCAATCAGAACTTAAATGCCAGCATAGGCCCCCGTATTCCTGTAAGAATTTTAGGATGGAGTTTCTTATAACTCAGAAACAGTAAATATGGCAGCAGTGAGTTTTTCACAAAACTTGTGACATTGAAGTAGAGATTTGGAATGTAAATAGTAACCACATGAAAAATTGTCTGAGTTCTTAGGATTTTTAAGTCTATTCTAAGTAGCTTTCAGTTTTTCTTTGAAGGTTAATATGTATACTCTTTATTCTCCTTTTACTGTCTTCAAGCGAGGATCCGTTTTTTTGCCTGCTTGGAGGCCACTGGCCCACTTTCCTTGCTGACTGCCTCTCAGATTCCTTTGGTTTAACTCAGGAGGCATGGGCAGGATGTGGAGATAGGGAAATGGGTATTTTTTTCCTGCTTTTGCTCTTTGTCTCTGGAAATGTCTGCATCCTTGTGAGACCTATCAGTGCTGTTCTGCTGGTAGCCCCTTCATGTCTTTTAGCTCTTGGGAAATTAGGATAACATTGCTGTTCCCTGTTCATCTAGCCTCATGAGTGGTGACTGCTGCTCATAGCCTACGTATCTGGCTGTCTCAGTACTATCTTGATTCCTCCCATCCCGTCAATCTTGTTTAGTAATAGTTCCTTAGGATTCTCTCTCCTTCTGCCCCTCCCACCCCATGTGTGCACTTGTGTGCTCTCTCTCAAATCAATCTTAAAAAGATTTTTCTCCTGATACATAACATTTTGGATTTGGGGACTTTTAAAATTATGAGAAAAAAGTTATATGTGGTGGTGCTTTCTCCCCTTTTGAACTTTCTAATTATGTCAGAATTTCAAGAAAACATCAGCGGGTTGTGGAACTGTTAATATGCATTTACATGGTTACTTGATAAAATTAATTGAAATCCTGTAGCAAAAACATTTTTGGGTAGCTTAAATCAGTGGTGAAATCTTAAACATACTGTTTGGGAAATGTTTGTTGTATATTAGAAGAAAATCTCTTGACTGTGTGCCAAATGTTTATAATTTGGACTCAGTTCAGAGCAGTTAGCTCATTAGACGAGCAGTGTGTACATGTCAGCTGGTGTCACACTTGTTTCATGGCTGCAGCCTGCAGCTGTATTGGAAAAGGTGGGCCCAGTAATCTCAGGAGGAGGAAGACAGGGTCAAAAGAAAATGAGCCATCTATAAGGCTGACTATAGATACAGCCCAGAAGGCAGTTCTGTTGGCATAAGGTTTCTAGCATCAGCTGAGTATAGTTTGATTTGAGTCAAACATGAGAAAATAAACTAAATCCTAGCTGCCTAATAGAAATCAGGACGGGTTACAAAGGACTTAAATATTTGACAGCCTATGACATGGAATGATTAAAAGGACCTCTTGGCAGTCTAATCAGCGGGCTGTAGATACTCTGCACGGCGGGAGGTAGCAATAGGAAGAGATTGTCATACCAAACTTTCTTCCTCTGGTTTAGCAAGAAATATTTACAGTAGGAAAACACATGAAAATAGTCTGTGCAGTGTCATCTTAGGACCAGACTTTGCTGGGTAAAGATGCTTTTACAGCAGAAGTAACTAAAAACAAAACCATTTTAGTAAAGATTATACTTTTTGTGTCCTTGATGGAAAGGTTCAAGAACATTAAGTACTATATTAAATCACCCCTTGTGACAGCAGCATCTTTAAGGTTGATGTATTTGTGGGAAGAAGAAAAGTTCACAATTTACATATTAAAAAACAGCCAAACTATCTAAGCTCTACACTGACCATCAAAAGTCCCTATCTACAAAAATCAAAACAAATCAGAACAAAGGCTGAGAAGCTATGGCTAGAGTCAGAAGTGTCCTATGTATACCACAACCTGCAACTCAGATTTCCAGATGCTGTTTCAAGTAAACCTTTTTCACCTACTACCTTTATTCTAATATGGCTCTGGAAATGTGGTTTCCCTCAATGGAATGGGATTCAGTTCCGCTCTGGTTCATTAATGTGAGTAAACAGAAGGGCTGTGCTCTACAGAGCCAGGCAGGATTACAACTGGGCTTGATTTTGATAAGACCACGTTGTCTACTGTCTGGATGACTTCTAGCATTGTAGTAACAGTAAGCAGTTGAGAGCAGACCTTGGGTCAAACCCCTTAGGGATAAACCAGCTCAGCGTGAACCTCTGTCAAGTGTGAAGTGGCAGCCAGACTCCATCAGGAGGCATTTTCCATCAGGGGTCTTCTCGGCATGCACTGAGCTGCAGGGAAAAAGCTTCATCTTGAGCCTTTGCAACAGCACAGAGTCTCTGAGTCTGACTGACTAGGTAGAAATGTCTTTTAAAAAGTGGCCTGAATTAGCAATATTTTCATATCACTTATGGTCATTCACAGTAACACCGATATACCCTGCAAAGAGCTGGAGCCAGGCCACCAGAACTCAGGTGAATTCTTTAATAAATACCTTATTCGAGGAGGTCATGAGCATCGTGACCAGCCATTTCTGGAGAGGGAGAAGGACAAAATGTCCTAGCACTTCTTGATCTTCAGTGTTTCAACATATCTGTTTGGAGAAGCTGATTTTCTTGCAAAGAAGTCCTCATGCTCCCCAGAGCACACAGCTTCGCTTTGGTAGAGATGTTGGCCAGAAGTTTTTTGCAAAGGCACCCCACATGTCCCCGAGCAATCCTTTGCACTCTAAAGGAGAGGTCTCCAGAAGGTCTCCAGAAGACACCAGAGTTGTGTCCTTGGCCTCGACCGACAACTGAAGCATTCAGGAGTTGGGAGGAAGAAGTAGAGAAGGCAGGGCTAGTGCCTCTCCATCCTGGCTTTCCTCCTGGGTCAAAGCATAGCGCCTGGCCTTTCTGGGGTCAGGCTCTGGTGTCTCCTCGGCCCATCTTCCCACACGGCGCACCCCTTTGGCCACCTTGGGTGCATTCCTGCAAGGATTATGGTCATAGATGACCAGCTTCAGACTTGACAGGTGGGCCAGGCTGGGGAAGTAATGGATGCTGTTCCTGTCCACATCGATCACCTCCAGGAAGGGCATGTGCAGCAGCACAGCGGGGAAGTCGGTCAGCAGGTTGCCTGAGAGCCAGATGGTCCGCAGCTCCCGGAGGCACTGGAGCCGGGCCGGCAGCAGACGCAAGGCATTGCAGCCGGCGTGCAGAGTCTTAAGGAGCCTAAGCTCGCAGACAACATCTGGCAGCTGCGTGAGGCAGTTGGCCTCGACCCACAGGGTCCGGAGATTCTGGAGCCGGCTCAGCTCACTGGGGAGGTCGCAAAGTTTGTTGTTACCCAGGTAGAGGATGCAGAGCTGTTTCAAAGTACACACCACCTGAGGCAGAGCCTTGAAGTTGTTGAAATCCAGGGCCAAGATCTGCAGATTCTGGAGCTGCCCCAGCTCCGGAGGCAGGCTGTTAAGGTGGTTGTCACTCAGGTAGAGCTTGACCAGCTCCCGGAAGGAACACACGTGCACGGGAAAGCGGCGGAGCTGGTTCCCACTCAGATCCACCATCTTGTCCTTCGGCATCTCCCGGAGGTCTCTGACCAGGTAGCTCTGGCAGCAGTCGGCGGGGACGAAGGCCATCAGGGCCCGGATGGCGTTCCCCATGCAGAGGGTGGAGGCACAGAGAGCCCCAGCCCACTGACTCGCTGAGGGGCTCCCCCGGGGGAGGTGGACTGCCCAGAGCCCCATTCTCCTCTCTTCCTTTATAACCTGGGATCGGCCTGACGAAAGCCAGTCTCTTCAACAGAGAAAAGTGCTCATGACAGCCACTTGAGTGTCGGGTGACAGCCTGACGCACAGGGTCTGGGAGGCCAGGTCTGACTTGCAGACTCACTTTCAGTCACCTAAGCTCCTGTGGCCTTTATCTACATTTTTTTGTTCGTTTCAAGCTGAAAATAGCTTCGCTGTTTTTTTCTAAGGATAAAACATTCAGACATTATATCAATGTGTAACAGAAGGAAATAGTCCTCTTGCCCCAGAATAAATACTGTAAACATTTTAATGTCTTACTCACGGGTAAATACTGTAAACATTTTAATGTACATCCTCTAGCCTTTTTGCTACAAGTAACCAATTTATTTTAAAAAATTTACTTACAGGGGCACCTGGGTGGCTCGGTGGATTAAAGCCTCTGCCTTCGGCTCAGGTCATGATCCCAGGGTCCTGGGATCGAGCCCCACATCGGGCTCTCTGCTCCGCGGGGAGCCTGCTTCCCCCTTCTCTCTCTGCCTGCCTCTCTGCCTACTTGTGATCTCTGTCTGTCAAATAAATTAAAAAAAAAAAAATTTACTTACACTGTTTAGGAGTCTTTTATCATAACATATGGACATATTTTTGTGTTTGCAGGTATCTACACAATTATTTTAACCACCTGTATTCCATTATACGGAGGCATCGTAAGTGCATACAGGTCTCTAATGTCGGGCACCTAGCTGGCTTCCAGTTATCCTCGTACATGCAGTGTGAGCAATCATCCACTAATTTCCCAGGACATGTCCTTAGATGTGCTCTTGGGTCAAAGATACACATCTTTTAAAGGCTTTTCCTTGATAGTGTTCCTCCCTACCCCTACCACGTCTGAACTGGTGTACATACCCTTCCCAGGTAATGGTTTTCCATAGTTTACAGTTTGCCTTTGACAAAAGATAAGCAGAAAAGAGAGAAGAGGAAGGCCAGCCTCCTGAAGCTTAAATAAATGAGGATGTATTTCTCCAGCCGTCTGTGGCAGAGAACAGCTAACTGCCAATCTAAGGTTTCTGCATTTCCTCCACAGTGTCCAGCCATAGGAAGCAGCTGGCCAGCCAGGACAGGGCCTAGTACTGGTCTCAGGCAGAGAATCTAATTCTGGCCAGTGGAATGTGGGCAGAAGTGCTACACGTCTCTTCTAGGCCTGGCTCATATAAAACAAACCTTGCCTTCCTGCACACTGTCTTTCCCCATCTGCCTGCTGGATATCAACACCCAGGGTGACCTTAGAAGCCACCGTGTGGAAGTCACATGTTGAAGTTGGCAGGGCCTTGGTCATCCTGGATCCCTGAATCAGTGCTAGGATCAGAACACTTCCCCGCCTTCCTGCACACACATTCCCTGCCACCCGCTGGATTTAGTAAGTGACAAATAAACCTCACTTTTGTTAAGCCATCCAGATCTGAGAGCGTATGGATTACAATATCTTAATGAATAGAACATTCGTTAAAAATAAGGAGGTAAGTCTACGGAGACTGATATGCAAAGATATTCAGGGTAAGTGAAGTGTGTGGGGCGAGGCTCATTTCCGAATTATTTTATGAGCCCATCTGTGAACAAATATGCATATATTCCTGTCTGTGCATAAAAAGATCGCTGAGCCATAAGAGTGAGTATCTCTGGGGAATCTGCCTGAAGGTTTTGGGGTGATCCTGACCTTTCCATCTTTCTGCAAGTATCCTCTTGCACTGTCTGAATGTTTTTTCTCTTTTAAACTATAGACCTATATTTTAAACCTATTCCAAAAGAAAAAATCCGTCAGCCTGCCTGCTGTATGGGCAGAGTGCTAGGGTTTGGGGCAGGCTTGGCATACTCTTTACTCTCCTCCAGGGCCTTTACTGCTCAAATTGCCCCCGACAGCCTGAGCGGAGCAGAAGAGCATTCTGCGTGAACGGCTGTTCCAGAGCTCTCTGGTGATGCCATGCCACTACCCGCCTTTCTTCTCAGTCACAACTCAGTACAAAACTGAACGTCCTTGGACCTTCTACACATTGAATGTCAGAGGCTATTATCTTGAGCCTTCTCCTTGCTTTGTTGATTTGTACTATAATAACTAGCCTCTCAACAAGGACTGTGCTTGGCTTCTATATTTAGCCTCGCCACTGGTGACCACAGATGGTCATGGAGCCGCTGCCCTGTTGCCCCTAGAAATAACGAGAACAGTGATTGCTACCTGTTACTATTATTTGTAACTAATCTGCTAAATACTAAACACTGTGCCAGGTACTTTCCATCTACCATCTCTTCTCAGAACACCTGCCAGATACATTTTTTAAAAAAGATTTATTTATTTTAGAGAGGGAGTGACCTGCGTGGGAGGGACAGAGGGAGACAGAGAGAAGCAGACTGTAGAGCACAGAGTCCAATGCAGGGCTTCGATCCCAGGACCCTGAGATCATGACCTGAGCTGAAATCAAGAGTTGGATGCTCAACTGACTGAACCACCCAGGCACTCCTAGATAAATATTTTTTATCCCCCATTTCAGATGAGAGAATGGAGGCTCCAAAAGTTTACCTTATAACATCAAATATTTATCAAGCACCCACTATGTTCTAGATGCAGGGAATCTTGTGGCTAACAGGATAGCTAGGATTCTAGCTCACTAAGTGTACAATTGCACCAGAGCGGGCATGGTGGTTTCTCTTCCTGGAGTGACAGTCCCACCAACTGACAAACTGCCATCATAGAACTTCCATGCAGCATTTTTTATGTCTTTGTTGTTGAAGATTTTATTTATTTGATGGAGGGAGAGCTCACAGGCAGAGAGAAGGAGAAGCAGACTCCCTGCTGAGTAGAGAGCCCGATGGGGGACTCAATCCCAGGGTCCTGGGATCATGACCTGAGCTGAAGGCAGATGCTTAACTGAGTCACCCAGGCGCCCCTCCACTCGGCACTTAAATACCAGCCCCTAAATATGAGCAGGTAGCTAAGGATAACACTATGGTTGAGAAAAGTTCTTTTTTTTTTTTTTTTTTTTTTTAAATCAAAGCTGGAGATGGAAATAAGCAGAATAAAAGAAAACAAAAATAAAAACAAAAACCAAAAATAATGGAGAGAGGAGAGGATTATAACTAGCCATACTACAGTATTTTCATAGTTTGTCCTGCCCTCATTTTTCATGCTTTTGTACTGGGTTTTAAATGAATAAAATATCCCTTAGGAAGCACAGAGGGTTATGGATTAACCATTACCATGACTGGTGTATTTACCCACTTCAGTGGTTGTCCCTGGCAAAGGGACAGCCTGCAGATTCAATGGCATTTCATAGGCCCACATGACCCTCTTCACAAAAGACCCCATCCTTTCTGGCTACAGATGTCTGTGAATACATAAAATGCATCACATGACCCCTGTGACCCCAGAGGGCGCTGTACTGGTTGATCTAAGGGACAGGTAGGAGATGTTCAAGGCTCAGCTCAACCAAGAACTGAAGATGGTGAGGAGTCTCTGAAAGGGAGTGTCAGAACAGTGTAAGAAAGCAGCGGTTTAAAGCAAGACATGGGGGAGACAGGCCTGCTGCTGACGATGACTCGTTCCTGGGAGGTTTCCCAAGGGCTTCGTGCTCACAGCCCCCCACTCCTCAAGGCACATAGGGCTGTGATCTTGAGGCTTCAGGAGAATAGCACTGACTGCTTCATCTCTGCCCTCCATCTGCTGTTCTATCCACTGTGCCCTTACCAGCCCCCACCTACCCATTTCCCACCTGTCTGCCGCAATGCCTCCTTGTGGCGTCAAAGCCCCACCTCGAATCTCAGCAGGGGCTTCTGATTCCCGCTGAACGAAGCCCAGACTCCTCAGAGAGGCGTACAGGACCCTCCAGGATCTGCCACTGCCCATCTCTCCAGTCCACTGAGAGCTCTCTCCTCCCCTGCTGCCTCCTGGAGCGCAATCAAATGTGCCACCTGTCCTGCATCAGAGGGGACGTCCCTGCCCCCCCCCCATGCAGCTCCCTCCACCTGGGATGCCCTCCCCAAGCCCCAACCCTCTCCACTCTTCTGATTTCTGCTGTTGTACCGTGTGTGTTATGTCCTGACCTCTCAGATGGGGTTTCACGCCATCTAGTGATTTTACACCGTGCTGATGATACTTTCCTATAAAACTGATTGTTCCGCTTCCATGAAGGGACTATAATCCCCACGAGGGCAGATTTGCTGGGACTGCCTTCCTGTTCAATCTGTCTGTCTCCCACTCTGTGCCTGGCCCCTGGTGGGTCCTCAGCAAGCCACAATAAATGAGCTGATGCTAACTGGCCGGTGAAGTAAACCTTTTTTTTTTTTTTTTAATTTTATTTATTTATTTGACAGACAGAGATCACAAGTAGGCAGAGAGGCAGGCAGAGAGAGAGGGGGAAGCAGGCTCCCCGCTGAGCAGAGAACCTGATGTGGGGCTAGCTCCTAGGACCCCGGGATCATGACCTAAGCTGAAGGCAGAGGCTTTAACCCACTGAGCCACCCAGGCACCCTGAAGTAACCCTTGATTTACAAACAGAAGATATTATTTTTAAGTACTAAAGACAGCACTAAATATAGGAAGGAACACAGATGTGATTTATTATGCTCATCAGTACTGCTATAGAGAGTACCTTGTATAAAAAACCTTGAGTTTAACACACACACAACTGATTGTACTTACAATGTATTTAGAATGTGATATATAAGTATAAAGTTTCACATTATAAAAGTAATTGTTGGGGCACCTGGTGGCGCCGTCAGTTAAGCATCTGACTCTTGGTTTCCGCCCAGGTGGTGGTCTCAGGGTCGTGAGTTCGAGCCCTGTGTTGGGCTCCCACTCAGTATGGAGTCTGCTTGAGTTTCTCTCTCCCTCTCCCCTGCTCACGCTCTCTAAATAAATAAAATCTTTAAAAAAATAAAATCTATATATCTTGGAGGAAGTCCAAGGTTAGGCCTGGGAATAAAGGCTTCTCTTTTCCTATCACCTCCAG